TGGAGCCAGGTATGGAGGCATGCACCCATAGTCCCAGCTACTGGGGAGGTTGAGGTGGGAGGTTCGCTTAAGCCCAGGAGTTCGAGTCTAGCCTGGGAAATATAGCAAGACTCTATCTCAAAAACAAAACAAAACAAAACAAAACAAAGAAAAAAAAGAAATGGTGCTGGGAAAACTAGATACCCATATACAAAAGAATGAAATTGGACCCTTACCTTATTCCATACACAAAAATTAATTCAAAATGGATTGAAGACTTAAACCTAAAACTTGCTCTAATTTTTGGGCTGTTGTTTTCTGCATTATTATTTTTACATCTTGAAAAATACATTTAAACCTCTGAAGTTTGAAGATACCAGGTTAATTATTTCCCTCAGCCAGCTTTATTGACATGAATGACAAAAATTGTATATATTTTAAGATAAATAAACAACATGGTGTTTTGATATACGTATACACTGTGAAACGATCACCACAATCAAGCTAACATATCCATTATCTCAGCTAGTTACTATTTTCTGTGTGGGGTGAGAACACCTGAGACCTACTCTGTCAGTATATTTCGAGTATACATTATTAGCTATGGTCACCATTGCTGTACATTAAGTCTTCAGAACTTATTCATCTAAAATTGGAAGTTTATACCCATTCGCCAACATCTCTTTCCCCTCGGCCCCCAGTCCCTGGTAACCACCATTCTACTCTCTGTTGCTAAGAGTTCAACTTTTAAGATTCCACATATAAGTAAGATCATGCAGTATTTGTCTTTCTGTGTCTGGCTTATTTCACTTAGCATAATGTCCTTCAGGTTTACCATGTTTTCAAAAATGACAGGATTTCTTTCTTTTTCCTTTTGTTTTTGTGAAAGGGTCTCTCGCTCTGTCACCCTGGCTAGAGTACAGTGGTGCAATCATAACTGACTGTACCCTCGAACTCTTGGGCTCAAGGGATCCTCCTGCCTCAGCCTCTCAAAGTGCTGGGATTACAGGCATGAGCCACCATGCCTGGCCATAAATTGCTTTTTAATGACTACTAATACTATTGCGGTGATCTAATGTCCTAAGTGTCCTTTCTGACCAGAAATCGTTGTTTTCATGACTATGACTTAAAGTAAACAGCTAAGTTTCTGATGAGATACTCTGAAGAAGTGACAAAAAAACAGGCTTTGGAGTTTAAAGAGACTAAGCTTTCCACCCTGGTTCTGTCATACAATGGCAGTCTAAATCTGAGCAAGTAGCGTCACCTTTTTGAACCATAATTTCTTAGCTTACATATAAGCAATGGCAAAATGCCAGGAATTGTGTCTTCTAGACACTTTTACACACACTGCTTTGCTTAATCTTTCTAACTACCATCCATAGACTACACAAGGCAATATGGGTCAAAGCACTCAATGAATAGAACAATTGTCTGACCTATAGGAGTCCGTATCTATTGAATGGATGGAAGCAAAGTTCCAAGAACTGAAATACTATCTGCAAGTATGGAAGAAATTCTTGTGATCTAGGCCTAGGCTAAGATTGAAAACAACAGAGTAACAGAACTATAACACTCTGAACAAAAAGAATTATCAATATTACAACTTAGCTTAGATCAGCATAGTAAACTATATTAACAAGGCTTTCAACTCTATTGAGGGTGGGAGCAGGGGTGCTTCTCTATGTAAATAAAGCTGGAGATGACTTTAGAAGTCAATTAATCAAGTGAAATAAGCCAGACGCAGAAAGACAATACTGTATGATCTCACTTATATGAGGAATCTAAAAAACAGGTGACCTCACAGAAATAAAAAGAAGGACAGCCAGGGACTAGGGTGAGGCTGGGGGAAATAGTGAAATGTTGGTCAAAGGTACAAACTTTCTGTTATAAGCCAATTAAGATCTAGGGATCTAATATACAGCATGGTGACTATACTTAATAATACAGTATTGTTGGCCAGTGCATGGCTCATGCCTGTTAATACTAGCACTTTGGGAGGCTGAGGCAGGAGGATCGCTTGAGACCAGGTGTTCAAGACCAGCGTGGACAACAAAGCGAGACCCCCATCTCTACAAAAAAAAAAAATTTTTTTTTAATTAGCCAGGTGTAACACCTATAGTCCCAGCTACTTAGGAGGCTGAGGCAGGAGAATTGCTTGAGTTTAAGCCTGGGAGTTTAAGGTTGCAATGAGCTTTGATGACACCACTGCACTCTAGCCCAGGTGACAGAGCAAGATCCTGTTTCAAAAACAAATGAGCAAACAAACAAAAATACTGTGTTATTTACTTGAAATTTAAGAAGAGAACAGATTTTAAGTGCCCTCACCTTCCTCCACACACACACAAATGGTAACTAACTATGGGTGGTGATGGATGTGTTCATTTATTTGACTATGATAACCAGTATACAATGTATCCATATATCAAAGCATCACATTGTATACCTTGAATATATACAATTTTTTTCAATTAAAAAAAGGAAGAATTAAAAGGAGGGGAAGTCAACTAATCTTCATTTTAACAAAAGTGTAAAGTGATTTCTCCAAGACCACATGCAGAACTTGAATGAGAAACCAAGACACCTAATTGCTGGCAGGTGCCTGAAACACTACAAAAATGCTAAAACATATACTTTTTCCTGGAATCAGAAGGAAGTGGGATCAAGTCCTTGTTCTGCCACCAAAAGGTGACTGTTAGTGGTTCCCTGTCTATAATATAGGAATGATGATAATAAAGCTCCCTATTTACCTCTTAGGGCGGTCACTAAAATTAAATGGAAAAATATGTGTTTAATCCTAAAACTACTAAATAAATGTTTACAGTAGCAATAATGACAATTTTGTTAGCTGTATCCAAATGCTCTAATCAATAATTTTTAAGTTTCTCAGATGACAGATTTTTTAATGTTTGAAAACAGGCCAAAAAATTGATTGCAGATAGACAATCCATCTTCTATGCCTCAAATACCTTTCATGCTCTTAATTCTTCATTGTCCCAATATTGTTTACCAGGGGAAGAAGTGCATTCTGCTCATTTAGATGATCTGTGTTGTTGGCATTTTTACCTTACATATCTTTGTTTTTGAGACAAAAGTCTTGCTCTGTTGCCCCTGCTGGAGTGCAGCGGCATCATCATAGCTCACTGCAGCCTCAAATTCCTGGGCTCAAGCAATCTTCCTGCCTCAGCCTCCCGAGTAGCTGGACTATAGGTGTGTACCACCATGTCCAGCTGATTTTTTCTATTTTTAGTAGAGATGGGGTCTCACTCTTGCTCAGGCTGGTCTTGAACTCCTAACCTCAAGCAATCCTCCCACCTTGGCATCCCAGAGTGCTAGGATTACACAGGCCTGAGCCACCGTGCCAGGCCATCTTACATTATCTTTCTCACTGAAACTAAAGCAGGCTTAAGAAAATCTTGGATGAAGCCTTCTGCTAAGGTAAGTTCAGTCATTCCCTCAGGCATCCTAGGGGAGCATACAAAGATACTCACTTCAATAACTACCGTCAGAGGGGAGGAGGGAAGCACTTACCAATAAGAAGGAGAAAGGTGATTGATCTGATATACCTACATAAATTCTCATAAAAAATACAACTCACATTTCTTTTTAAAATAAAAAAGATTAAAATAATCTTATATTATTAACTTAGATATAAATGGATTTCCCAACCTCTGTAAACTTAGGAAATCTGAACTAAGACTAAATAAACAATCCAATAAAAATATTTCGATGTAGCCAAGAGAAAGTCTATAAATCTAGAGGAAAGTCTCAGTTTAAAAGGTTTTATCCGAATTAAAATAGTGTAAACTATTGGGAAAGATACATGACTTATTTGAACAACTTTCAGCACTTATGTTTTTTGCTCCAGATGACTTCCTACTCTACCCTGGGCACTCACTTTTATTAGGGGCTATCTATCACTCTTTGAAAAATGCTTCCTCTAGTCAACCACTTCACTCAACTGGCATTTAGGCTTTGAGATCAGCCCTTCCTTATAAATTATACTCCTTTCGCATTCTTATTTTTTTGTTTTCTAATATACCAAGGAATACAGATCCCTACTAATTCTGAGTTATTTCCTCTCTGTCAGGCCAACTGACTAGAAATGTGTTATTCTAAGTGGCAACTCTTCTACTTGTGCCATAGAGAAAAATACTAGTAAGATGAACCATGAGGAAGTCATTATAAAAATCTTTCTTAGAGGTTGGTGATGGCTAACCTTGCAGCCAGAAAAATTCAATAGAAATTTGATTATCCTACTGTTGAAAACTCTTGGTTTAGTTTTATCTGACTTCCAAATATCTTTCTCTGATGTCCTGTAGGGTTTTATTTATTAATCACGAAATACTCCTGTACATCTTCCATCATTGCATCCATTATTTTCTTCTGTTATTTCTACCAGTTTACACAGGACTTTCACTGGACAAAGAACACTGTCACTGAACGAATTAAGAATTTCATTGACTTAACTTACACTAAAGAAACTGTATAGAATACATATAGCCATTCCCCTGTTACATAAAGAAGATTATGGAATATATACTTTACTATCTTTCAGGACTTCCTGGCAAGAGAATATTTTTTAAAAGAAGAATTTTAAAAAACTGTAATACAGAAAATCTCTTACACCCTTCCAGTCACTTTTCTCAATAAAGCGTAAGATTTTATTTTTCCAGATAAAGCCTTCATTGATTAAAAAAGGTGGTAACCTCTTTTTGAAATGTCCTTAATGTAAAAATTGGTACCTAAATTTTAAACAATGGCTAACAATTTTTATAAAATAAATACAGTGCAATATTTACAAAAGTCTAATATGAAGGTGTTATGGTATAAAAATATTATTTAAATCGGAGGACAGAAATCTTCTGTTCTAATCCCAGCATTACTGACAGCTAGATGTGGAACCTAGGGTCAGTCACCGAAACTCCCTGCAGCTCTCAGTTCTTTCATTAATGTAATGTGCCTTTGATACCTTGTTGAAATTCTGAGATGAGCTAAGATGGAGTTAAGATAAAGCCCATTTTCTACTAGTTCTACTACAATTACAGAAAGAAATTACCTAAATTCTTTCATGTTTACTAAGTAGTAAAAATGTAGTAACCAATTCAAGTCTATGGTGATACGGTTGAGGAAAGCAAATTGACTTGATGAACAAACAAACATTTCAAACAGGGTACCAAAAGTATTCTCATACCTGTGTAAAGGTGAACGATACTAACATGCCCAAAGAGTCTGATGGAATGATAGACTTTGTGTGGTTCAAAAATACTGGGTTAAATGTTACCTTTTGGAGCTTTCAGAACTGGAGGATATACAAAGAGTTAATCAACTAGCATATTGTTTTCACAAAGATTTTTCTAAAAAGGATTTAGAGACTTTTATAGCCAGAAACAATTAGGGAATACTTGTTTCACTATTTCCTTTAAACTAGAAGACGGCTATATATTTAAAATAAAATTGCAACATGAAAGTCTGCTAAAAGCACTTTTTTTGTTGTTTGTGCATTTTGTTTGTCACCCAATGTCACACTAACAACTCTGCATCTCATTCCAAAGCACATTATACTGCGAGATAAAATGAAAAAGACCATTTTTTGTTTCCCCAAGGGGAAAGTACTTCTGTTAAAAGCATCTTTTTATGAGACTACTCTTTCTGAATTACCAGTAATGCAAACCAAAGAATTAGACACTGTACTCTAAAATTTAATATTTGTTCAATTCTTATTCATATCCTATAGACATCCCATGTGTACAAGGGAAAAGTATGCTAAATGCTTAAACGTACTTAAGAACCTGAAAGATTGAACATTTCTGTCCTTCAATCAGCAGGCTGTCAGGTCATGAGTACTCATTTTGCAATAAAAGTTTTCCTGCCTTTCCTATTATTGTAACTAAGCTCAGTTAAAAAATAGATTGGTCCACAGAGAAAATGGCCATACTCTTTATTCTCATGAATCTGATTATATATAACTTTATCTGTATGAAGGCTAGACAAACTAATTTCAAACACTACATGTAATATCAAGAACTAAAGAATATTTTTAAGAACGTAAAAATAATGAACTGTTCAAAACTGCACTCAAAGTTTGAATTATCAAGATCAGAGATGAATTAAGAAATGAAATTAAGATGAAAGAAATCCATGTTTTGTTTTTAAAATGCTTACATAATACTTTACTATAACTTAAAACTACTCCATTTTCTCATATCTAATACTCAGGAATAAGTGTGCTTTCCCAAAGAATTCCATTAGATATGTGTACAAACCGTTACAGTGGCTCTCTGAACCACTATAAATCGGTAAAAAGCAAAATCTAACCTTGAGCATTTTTCTTCTTCTGATGTTCAACTAGCAACGGCCAGAAATAGTGAGTTCTGACAGGAAAACCTTCTTCCTTCATAGCCTTCATTAGAGCTTTTGCCAAATCTGAAAGAGATATCATAAAATATCACAAAGCTATCTCAGCAAAAGTTAACTTATGTTGGTTTTAACTATAAGAATATAGTACCAGCTTTATTGTGTAGTAGAGCACAGTAGAGGGTGAACTGCAAAGGAGATGAGTGCATCTGGGCTTCCTTTAACTTCCTACAGTAGTCCGTCAGCTTCTCTGCAGGCTATGGGAAAAAAGTCACCACATCAGCTAGACTGGCAAATATCCCACCGTTTGACCTGCTGCAAATATTATACCACTGTTGGGATGAAAAATTTAAATCTCTCATCCTCGTTCTTCCCCCAAATCTTGCAACACAAAAACAAGGTTTTTAAAATGTTTATAATTGGTCTAATCTCAGAAATCTTCTTTTAAAGAATCTCATTTCTTTGCCAATTACACTATCTACAAAATAAAAATGGACAGAATACCGTATTCATAGTCACACAGTGTTGTAAAAAGAAACTGCCGAAGTCACTCAGACCATCTTCCCTTGATATAGGACATGCTAGTAAAATTTGCAATGCTGTATCTTCCAATTTTTCAGTGACTAAAAGCAAAATGAGATTCATTGCATCTGGGAAGAAAACAAAGACATCTTTTGTTATTGAACTGGACAATATTTTTACACTGCAACCAATACTAAAGACAGAAACTGCAAACATCAAAGGGATATGTCTGCTTAAATAAAAATAAAAAAACACTTTTAAATCAAAATATCCTCATGTATTCATTAACTCATATTTTTTAGCTTAAGCTGACTTTAAGAGTCCTATGTTCACCTACCACAATTCCCTATCATTAGGGAATGCCCTTTCCATCATGTAACAGCAATTCAAATTTTTTTTTTTTTTTTTTTTTT